AAGTATTAAGACTTTATTAGCAAAGAAGTATAAAAACTTCTTGTGAACATCTTTTTTGTGTATGGTCAGAGGATTAGCGGAAAGAGTTTTTTTAGTAAATTTTAGATTCTTATGGAACTGAAAAAATGCATTTAAATATATAAAATGATCAATATGAATTTGTTTATTAATCTTATTCAATGTGTTTTATATTAACCAATCAAAATTAATAGAATTTGTACTATCTGAGATTTTAGGATCAAACTAAAGTAGGTAAAATTCTTCAGAAAATTGTGAAATGAAAGTTCTTAAAGGTTACAAAACTAGTCAAAAAGAAAAAAACCAAATTTTTTAACTAGTACAGAATCTCTATCATATCTTATTAATCTGTCTCAAAAAAATAATAATAAATATTTTATTAATGTTTTTTTTTCTTTTAAAAACTTTCTTGCTATTGATAATAAAGATGAACAAAAGTTTAGTTCATTCAAAGAGAATTGTAAACAAAATAGAGAAGGAGTGAAAAAATCTTAAAGAAGCTCTTTAAGTTGATTTAAAAAAAGTTATAAGACTTTATTAGTATAGAAATATCAAAACTTTTGATAAACATCTTGTTTATATATAGTTAGAGAATTAGTAAAAAGAGTTATTAAATTTATAAATAATATAATTCTTATTAAAAATAATTTATTAATATAAAATATATTGATTTTTAAAATATAAAATAAACTTTTATGAATTACAATTATATATTATAATATTATTATTAATAATAAAAAAGAAAGCTTATGAAAATATTTTTATTAAATTAAATAAGTTTTTAAAAAATATTTATAATATTAAAAGATAAATAAAGACTATATAATATAATATTTTTATTTTTTATTATATTAAGTTTTTTAAATAACAAAAGTTTTTTTCTAAAATGAAAATTAAGATTTTCAATTTTTTATTCTAATAAGAAAAGATTAAAATATTGTTAATATTACTATTTTAATTAGATTATAAGTTCAAGTTTCATAAATAAAAAGTATAAAATAAGATCTTCAATTCAAATAATTCAAAGTAATAAATTTCTTAAATGATTTGAAGTTAAAAAATATTTTGATTAAGTAGATTATTTTGAAAAAAAAATTTTTTATTGAACAAAAATCTTTTAAAAAGTTTTAAATTGATTTTTTTTTCTCAATAAAATATTGTTTTTTAAATATAATTTATAATAATAAATTATTAATAATAATCTTAATAGATAAAGATTTGAATATCAATTTAATAAAAAAAAATTATGTTGTTTTCTAAATCTAATTTAAAGTACTTAATTGATATTTTATTGTTTAATTTGAATTAACTTAATAAATTTCTTATATTTTTTAAATAATATAATTTTTTAACTAATAATATATGATGATAAGTTACTTATTAAGCAAATAGCCAATATAATATTATATTTATTTATTTAATATCTCAATGAAAACATTTTAGAACAACATGATTATGGGTTAAAAAATAAAATAAAATATATAAATAATAGAATATATATAAAAAAATATTGTTTATAGAGAAATATTTTTTATATAAAATATAAAAAATGTAGAAAAGAAAAAATTTTTTTTCTTTTAAAAAATGTTTAAAATATACTGTCAAACCCGGTGCATATCTCAGGCCTACTCGCTCTTATTAATATGATATCATATTGACGTTTTGTTGATAATCGTTGCGACATAATATATGGGAAACGTAATAATGTCATAAATTTATAAATATGTAATTAGAGTGCATGTCCACTAATATATATATAACTCTCCAAAACATTTTACTATCTTTTCTTGCTTACTGTTTCGACGCAAAATGGGTCATACTCCTCGTTTTGATACCAATTCTCACTTTGCGAGCGTTGATCACTCATATACAGACGTACGAGGCAAACAACCCCACGAACTTCACGATCAGTACGTTCATCCTGTTCACCAACCCGATCCCAAACTACCTCATGACCCAAAAATGGATTTTGATAAGAGCCATAAGAAACGTGTGGATGAAGAAATTATGGCGGATGACATGGAAATTATAAAAAAGAAAGACGAGGTGCAAAAGAAAAAAATGCCGGCTAAGAAGTAAATTCATATATTAATTATAATGCCATGTAGATTTCTTTTCATAATTTTGTATTGTGATCGAAAATTTCGTTGCTAAAAATCTTCGGTTTGTAATTACGTAGAAGTCAAAACGTTTTTTGTTTTGTTTTACCATCTTGCAATAAAAAATCAATAAATTCAATTATTTTAAATTTGTAATATAATCCGTTTATTACTTACAGTATTTACAGTATATATTTATTTATTATTATAATTTTAGTTTTAAATAAAAATAAAATTATAAAAAAGAAATTTTTAATTGCAGGTTGATCGATCAAGATTAGTTCATTCGAAAAAAAAAAACTTGAGCTTAAATATTGGTTATACTGTAATTGGATGATCGATTAGTTATTCTTTATTTCTGCTTTCATTAGGACAGCAAATCCTGTCATTCTGTTTATACTGTAGGTTAAGCGAATTTAACCATAACGGCTGCAACCAGAAAAAGATTTAAAAGAAGGTTACACCCGTGAATGCTCGTGGCAGTAGTGGCGGCGGACGCGATAACAGATGATGTTGCAGATTGAGTCACTGTTTTAATACTAAACGAATAAGGAAGAAAATGTTAATTTTTATCTCTGATTTTCAGGATCATGCAAGATTTTACTCACGGAGTTGTTGTAGTTGAAACAGTTATTTGAACAATTAAAGAGGCAGAATTAGATGTTATCGACGGCAATGCACTACTGATGGTTTTTCTGGTGGCTGAAGATGATAAAACGGGCGTGGTGCTCCCGGGGGCATAAACAACAAATGGTCCAGAATATTGATCACCAGAACCGTCGTTGAGAGTGAAATAATAGACACCAGCAGGAACATTCACCGTCCAATTATATTCTTTAGGAGTAAGGTCCAAATTTCCGCTTATTAAGGTCGCCTCAGAAGTAGTATTGCTGACGATGTTCAGTGTTCCAGGACGAGTTGGAGCCGTTGTATAATTCCATTGAATCGAGACTGTAGCACCCACAGTGACGCCTCCAATAGGTGTATAAATAACGGTGACCTCTAATTAAGATAATTTTAATTTACACGACAAATTAATCTTTCGCAATATATAATTCTGCTTCTTCTAGTACGGTATGTCATGTGGTTTGCTGGCTGTGGGGAGGCTTTGTCAACCCCGCCAGCAAAGCAGAATTAATCCTAAGCACTTCACCAGAAGACCTTTCGTAGAAACATATAGCATACATCAGTGCTCGTACAAAAAAAAACTTACGGGCTGAGATCGAAGTAACGTAAACAAAAAAAAGAATTAGCGTAATCAATCGTATCATCATTCCTTTTTCGTGTATCGTGTTTATTCCTATCTTGCAAATGATAAAATATGTGGAAAAAACTTGGAGTGCAATTACGAAGACGTAATTAAATTATTATGCATTTCTTTTTTCCAAGATTCTTACGCATTTCATCAGAGGGGTATTTATAATGACACGCCTGTTAAGAACAAAAAGGAGTCTCCCAAATTGCATTATTCCAGTTCTAACGTGGCAAAGAAGTAATTTACTTAAAAATTCACAGGTTCCATTTCTGGAAAATTCACACGTCATTATTAGAGCATACAAGGTAAGGTTTCACGTCATTATCATGAAAGTGTTTTTTTCACTTATTGTTATTACTCTTTTAAAAGAAAGTGCATATACTTTGCTCTTGCTAAGAAAATTCCATAATGTGTCATTATTGGTTTTATTTTACGTAATGTAAAACCCTTTTTTTTTTTCGAATGGTTAAGAAAGATCAACAGTATGCTTATATGT